GGGATAACTATACGTGAGTTTTGAAATAAATTATAAGTATTAATAACCAGAGTACCGCAATAACCCAATGATACATAACAATGTGAGGGATGAGATGGGTGACCCAGGGGAGGAAACATTTATTAAGGAACTTACCCTGAGCCAGTGATGCCAGACGCTAAATAATGGTATCAAATTTTCACATGTGAATCAAACATTTATTTTACTTTCTCGAGATATTATTCTTGATTAAAAATTAAAAAAAAACACATAAAACGTGCCAGATCTACTGAAATAGGGTCCTTTTATCTGACATGACGAAATACTTATACATTACTGAGGAACACATTCGATCAAGTCAATCGTACTCAATCTGCAAAAAAAAATTGTCTTGAGAAAGCAGAATGGAGAAAATAGTCTGACGAGTACGAGATGAAAAGAACACTAGGTTCATTTTTGTAAAATGGCAGAAGTTCGTAATCGCAGGCACGTGGTAATACAAGCACGAGGTTTACGGATACAAAAAATAAGGGCGAAGTTATATCTCATTCTTTTCTTACTCGCCTAAATGTGAACTCCAGAATCAGCTTTTCAATACGAATACGTAGTTTCAAAATATCTCACAGTTCTCCAGCTTGTCGGGCATTAGTCAACAACAACAAGCAGAAGTAGCAAAAAGCAAGTAGGTCTTGCGTTATTAAGACATCTTTATGAACAAAGAATGAATTTTAATTCGTTTCAAATCTAAAATGCTGAATGACGTAAAATAATTAAATCTGCATAGTTCAGAACAATTTTTGTTCCTTTCCCTTATTGGTCCCTTTTCTTTATTTGATGATAATTACTGCTGCGAAGTTCATCGTTTTCTTCTGCGTAAAATTTCTTTTGCATTTCTGTCTTGAGAAAAATAAAAACTTGTATGTAAAGTTTTAGCTTTTAAAAAACGCGCTTATTTTTACTTCCTTGTACGAAAGGAAGTATTGTAATCACGAAAAATGCCAGGTATCATATTTCAACCAAAGTATTTATTTTGACCGCTGTCGAATGTAATTTAACGATGTTTTTGCATGACATCTATTCGTAACGATAGAATAAAGGACTTTTCCTCAAAACGAATTATAAAACTGATTTAAAATGGATTCAGAAGAGATTTTTTCGTGGTGTCCCTTACGAACGTACGTACGTATATGTATGTATGTACCCCGCATAACTCAAAAATAATTAGCCTCAGAACCTTGAAATTTTGTATATAGGACTGCTATAACATGTAATTGTGCACCTCCCATTTTTGTTGCAAATGGCCGCACCAAAATTTAAAATGTAAATATACATTTAACAAATATTATCTATTTAAATTCTAAGAGCACATGCAAATTAATTTCACGTATCTAAAACCATGAAAAAATTGCATAAGTGAATAATTGTTGAACAGGCAGGAGACGGACTTATCAGGAGGAAGTTGCCCCCAAACCTAACTCTTCTATTACTCAATTCGTGTTTCGTCATTCATATAGACAAGAGTAAAAGTAGAATTCAAAAACAAACGTAAAACCAAATGTTGTGAATTACTAAAAAAGAAATTTAACCTGTGGAATTTTGAGAAAAGCAAGTAACTAGAGTTAAAATTAATTAAAAGTCAATTAAGTGTACAAAACCAAATTTTTTAGAAAACCAAAGTAATTTAGAAACTCTTGCCTATTGGAAACTTTCCCAACACGAATTATGCACGTAAACCTAAAATAAACTTATTACAACATCGAAATATAAGACATAATGATAATAAAAATAATAATAATAAGGCTGTTAATAGCAAGTTTTAATTTAACTTACCTTAGTATCTACATATTTTGAATTTCGGAGAGTGGTACTAGCATTTGCTAAACAATGTGAAGGTTGAGCTAGTTTGTTTACTGCTAACTGAAAAAATAGAGGGCACTAAAACTATGCAAAAGTTGAGTTGTAAATCTGCTACCTGTGAGAGCTATTGCACTCGTAAAAAACTATGCTGTAAAATTTTTAAAATGTAAAATGTAAAATGCTTGTTTTGTGTGCAAAAATGTTGCTAACTTTGAGTCATTATTAAAATGTGTAAAAAATAAAAATTAAGATTAATTAATAATTATAATTATTTAATTAATTTAAATTTAATTTACTTTACTGTTCTTTTGTGAAACAATATATATACGCACTGCGTTACTTAACTCAGAGAGCTCAGTTTTTTTTATTCTTATATGTTGGTAAATTGCGCAGTTTTGTTTGAATTATGTTGTTCTTATCTTCTGGTTAAGGTTTTTATGCCTTTAGTTAATCTGCATGCAATAGTTGTAGAATTGTAAAAAATTTAAAAGTTGATTAAGTGCGGCTAAGCATAATTTTTCTTACTATAGCAGCCCTATTTGTTTACATTTGGAACAGTAGAATAGAGAATTCAATCTTCCTGCACCTTCAGCATCTTTTTGCCGAGTGGAACCAACAGGAAACTTAGTTTTGTGCAGCGAAAAATCTGCCTTCTTGCCTGCTGTCCAAATCGCTAGTTTTGCGTAGAAATTAATTGTTTTAACTATATTTAGTGTTTTTTGGTTTTCTATATCTTTCAGTTTTTAATGAAGATATTTTGAGTTTTTAATTATTTTTGCTTTGCTGCGAAGTGAGAACTGAATTAATAGAATCAGAGATATATCTGTAATGAAATTCAAGGAAATAAGTTTAACTGAAATGCAGGGAAAATGCGTGTAATTTAATACTCCGTACCAGGAAGTCATGTGGTGTACGCGTCAGATTTTTTTTTCTTTTAATATTAATGACAATCTTACTGGGGAATAAATAGTATAAACAAAATTCATTCCATTTTCAAAGAGAAACGATTGGAAATCCTTATAGCTTTTATTACTCGGAAAATTTTTATTAGAAAGTAACTTTCATCAGAAGAAAATCTTAAAAATATGGGACCTTCAAAACACGAACTTTAAAGATGCTGTCAAACATCTTCAGTGGAAAGGGGGCAAGCTTAAGACAAAAAGGAATTCGTCGGCTTAAAAAGAAAGTACTGATTTTAATTCCATTTCTCCTCCTTTTCCCAAAATCAGAAACCTTTTTTTACTGACATCCATCATCAAAAAAAAAAAAAAAAATGTTTAATTCTTTTCTTAGACTTCTTATTTGAAATCATTCTCTGAATTTTGGTTTAAGATTGTCTTTGTCAACTAAAGAACTCGTAAATAAGACTTATTACATATAGCTGCGTATCTCAAATACCGTATATAAAGTTACTTTGGAAGAAAGGAAAATAAATCAGATAACCGCAATGCATTGTCAAAAGTACAGGGTGGGGCAAATAAAAGTGGCTCGAAGAACAGAGTTCCAGATTACAAAGAAACACAGCAAAGTAAAGGAAATACAGTACTAACCTGACTACAGCAGATGTTGAAATTGACTACCATTCATTTCTTGGCACTTTTGGACTCTTTTCAGCAAGTTACTGAAGGCAGATCGAAGCTGGACTGCAGGAATTACTGCAATCTCATTCGAAACGGTCTGCTACAGTTCTTGAAGACTGTGAGAGTTTTTGCGATGCACTTTAGACTTGAGAGAGTGAAAAGTAAACAACTTAGACTTGAGGGAGTGAAAAGTACAAAAAGTAACCAGATCAGGTGACTTGGGGGGTCAGATAGGGCCAACACCAGACTGACTTGTGCTAACAACTCTGTCAGGCTTGAAAATTGTGTAAATGTGATCTAAGGTGCGGCCGGCTGTATAGGCAGCTACTCCATCCTGTTGGAAGTAACTGTAGGTCTTTTCCTTCTAAGTTAATATTGCCACAAATTGATTAAATTAGTGAAAATGCAACAATTCGAATTCAGCGTCTGATGAAAAAAGATGAGACCAATAAGGCGGCGTGCAGACACTCCACACCAAACCCCAACCTTCTGATCATGCAATGGTTCTTTTTGGTGGAAAGTATGCCGCTGTTGCCCAGAGCCTGTGATTCTACGAGTTGGCATAATCACTCAGGTGAAACCAGGCTTCATCATAAATAAAGAAAAGATCCATGTCCAAGTCATTCAATCTCAGTGATCAGCCATTCACAAAACTGGAGGCGCTGAGCAACATCTGCTGATTGTAATGCATGCACAACGCACTCTTTGTAGGGATGCCTTTTCAGGTCCCAGTGATGTATTCGATGATCGACGTGACATGTCGGTCTCTTTCGACAGTCGTCAGGTTGATTTGGTAGGACTCTGAAGCATTCTTTGCTAAACTGCAGCCACACTCTCTGGTGTTCGGAGACGTTTGGGAATGTTTTTTGACTTGTTCAAAATAATTTTTTTCTGACGCCATTTCTAGAATAATCGTTGCTTGTCACTTTGATACCATTAAACATGTGAGTAAATAACTGACCACGTTGTTTTCACGACTTTGTTGTAACGCAACTTTCCACAATGCACAACACCCTCTGCTGCACTGTGAGTATCATCTTCACATCTGCCCTGCTCAACTCACACTGACGCAGCCCACACCGAACTCTGAACTAGTTTGGATAACGTGGTGTGCGCGTCACGTTGTATGGTTATATGCATACATTCACATCTAGTCGTATCCACTCGTTCGAGCCACTTTTATATACTTTCCTTTGCTGTGTTTCTTTGTAACTTTTGTTTTTATATTTAACTCCTTGTACGAAGTAAAGGAAGTACCGTAATCTTGAAAATTTTCGGGTATCATATTTCACTTAAAATATCCATTTTTGACCGTTCCGAATCCATTTGGAAGATTTTTTTTTTTTGCATGGTGTCTGTACATACGCACAGAATAAAACAATGCGAATTTTGACCATTGGTAATTTCGTGAGCACATTCACGAAACGTGCATTAAAATTTGAATAAAGAATACGATGTTACTAAGCGTATTATTGAACGATGTTCCTAAACTTGTATTTTGAACAGCCATGCCTTTTAACTTTTGAATTTTCTTTTTTTTTTTTTTTTTTTTTTTTTTTTTTTTTTTTTTTTTTTCGTTTTTAGTTGGCACCAAAGTTCCAGGAATCGTACGGAAACCAAAGACTGCAGTGCAGATGGTAAGTTATGTTTCTTTTTCTTCTTTCGAAGCTTATTATTATTAGTTTATGAAAAAGAGAAATATAATTCACTGAATTTCAAATATCCATGCAAGTGGATGCTCATATTTTTGCTTCTGCATATTGTAATATAATAATAAGTAATGGATCAAATGGATCATGTCGTCATCCGTACTATCCTAATATGAAATTTCACACCTATGTTCACTATGCAAAGTGCTATATAAATCCGCAGTCCACCTGTGACATAGTGAAATTCATAAGCAGCCAATTTAATAGAATACACGTCGCAAATCATTTTACGAAAGGAAAGAAAATAGCCCTGCACCAGAAAATTATCTACGTTACTGCATTTAATGTCCTTAACCTTTAGCAAAATGGATTTGAATATTTATTTCATATTCAGTACAAATGCAAGTAATTTTTATTTATAATCCATAATCTTTGAATTCGAATATTCATAATCTATTGATGATTCTGATTCTTTAATGAAAATTTCTTAATCAGGAATGGAACATAGATCATCTCATATGCACGCTTGTTTTGCATGTACACCTTGCACAAAAAAGGGGACAGTTCTATACCTCCCCGTTCTACTGGACGGATTGTCGAAATTTAACTTGCGTTTTTCATGTCTCCAAAAAGCGACTTGCGATATACAGGGTGTTTATAAAGTCCCGGACCCATTTTGATGTTTAATAACTCATAACATAATACAGATAGATTAAAATTAATAACAAATGGTTAGATAGTCTCAAAAGGTTTCATGACCTTGTCAATGAACTTCCACGTGTACCCCCTTCGTCGCACGGAGAATAGCAAGTCGATATTCAATTTCACGCCATACAATCGGCAAGCATGTGTTGTGGTGTATACATTCTCCTTAATATCCGGTCGAATAAAACATCACATACAAAAGTACTAGAACAAACATATCAAAAGTAAACAAAGCATTGTAACAGTTGCCAAAAACAAAAGAGAGCAAAATACAATTAATAAACAGACGATATTTAGAAAACTACAGATATTTAGACTAGAAAATGAAATTATCTGAAATTAACCACACGCGCAGACGATATTTACAAAAGTAAAGATATTCAAATCTGAAAAGGAAAATATATAAATTATTCCATCAATAATTGCCATAAATTTGTTTATATCTTCATTATTTTATGAGCTATTAAACATCAAAATGGGTCCGGGACTTTATAAACACCCTGTATATTACATTTATATATAGCATTGTTCTAACATAGATATTTTCACCCAAAGTCGGGCTTTTTCTGAAATGATATATGAATGTTTTTCCACACTTCGTATCTACGACTCAAATTATGCCAAACTGCCAAGTTTTGCAAAAATCGCACGAGTAGGTTTTAAAATACGTATCTCCCAAAATTTTAGCTTTTCGATGTTAATTGAATTTGATATACTATATTTATTAATATCTCGTTTTTAATTAAACTTACTTAATTCCTTCTTCCAGAATTCGAAATTTAGGCTTAATCCAAATATAACTCATACATGTTTTACTACGCATTTTAAAAATTTGTGTTTTAAATATTTTTTATAAATTTTTCGAAAAACATTTTGTGTTATAATCTATCAAATTTCTACGATCATCTTAAAGTAAAAGTATTTCTAATGTGCGAAAAATTAGAATTTTTTATTCAAAATTTCCTAAGATATGCGTGAATTTACATTTTCGAACGTTTTTAAGTTTGGTAAATTCGTTATAATCGATAATAACGCCAAATGTGGTTTGTTAGAATTATTTGAAAGTATGAACGGCGACATTATTTCCTTTCTTGTACAATGAAAAAAAAGTAAGTAAAATAGGTTGCTATAAATTAAGAAATTTCCCAAGTGAATTATTCTTGGCGCAAACTGAAACAAATTTTCCTAGATAAATTTTTTAACTTCTCCATAAATTTCTCACCAAAAATTACAAATTTAATATTCAGCGTACTTTGAGTCGTAGAATCGAAATATGGAAAAACATTGGTATCTTATTTCAGAAAAAGCATGATTTTGTGTTAGAAAAATGCTATATATTAATCTAATATGTATCCTAAGTCTGCTTTAGAGACATGGAAAATGCAAATTAAATTTCGACAATCGGCATTTTGAAAATGTCCCATTTTTTTCCTGGAGGATGTACAACAAGTAAATATTCAGAACTTTTTTCCCTACTCCATGTATATCTTTAATTTTATATACAGTGTCTCACAAAAGTGATGGGACACTTGTGCTTTACAAAAGGAAACTGTAATAAAATAAATTAAAAAAAAACATGTAAAAATTTTTTGTGGGTGTGTTTCATACTTAAATTTAGTAACAATTATTACATAACATACATTTTCTCTAAATATTAAAATAATAATTTAATAAAAATACAATTGTTTAGAACGGAGCAAAAAATGGCTCACATAAGTGATGGGACACCATTAGATACTACTACGTACTACAATAAAAATAATTTTTTTGGCTTTTATTTTTACTCAAAAGCAATTAAAAATAATTTATAAAATCATCTGCAGTCTTTCTCTCCAGTTTGTTTTGGAATTTTTATGTTTTTTAGCTCTGTGCAGCCATGAATGCTAAACGAAAAGAAACTTTGCCTGAAATTCGAAAATTAGTTATTAATTTGCATATTGAACGTGAAAATCTATAGAGAAACTACTGAAACAGTTAACATGCAATTCAAACAGAGTAACAATCAAAGAGTCATCAATCAACCGTTTTCAATATCATTAAACGATATAAAAAGAATCATATATGATTCAGCATAAAAGAAGACCTGGTCGACCATCAAAGCTATCCAATGGAATAAAGCGAATTATTGTTCGAAATATTTAAAAAAATACAAGAATGAGTGCTCCTAAAGTTGCTGCTGATTTACAAGCATTATATGGAGTGATTGTTAATCCTGAGACTATTAGAAGAGTAATTCGATCTGCTGGATATGACGGTAGAGCAGCCAGGAAAAAATTCTTCGTAAGTGAAAAGAATAGAAAACTCAGATTGGCTTTCACAAAATCCAACATAAATAAGAACTCTGATTACTGGAATGAAGTTATATTTGCTGATGAGAGTAAATTTAATATATTTGGTTCTAACGGTAGAATCTTGGTTTAGAGAAAACCCAGGAAATAATTTCGCAAACAGAACTTGGTGCCAACAGTAAAACATGGTGGAGGAGGAGTTATGGTATGGGGGTGTATGTCATCCGCTGGAGTTGGTAATCTTGCTTTTATTGACAGTATAATGGATCAGTGCAAGTATATTGACATTTTGAATCAAAATGTGAAATCTTTAGCACGAAAACTGACCCTTCATAACGATTTTAAATTCTACCAGGACAATGACCCCAAGAATACTGCTTTGAACGTTAGACTATGGCTGCTGTATAACTGTCCTGAAATAATAAAAACACCACCACAATCTCCAGACTTAAATCCCATAGAGAATATTTGGCAAGAATTGGAATCAAGAATTCGCAAACACACCATTTCTTCAAAGCAACAATTAAAATCATTGCTTCAAAAAGAATGGGGTAAAATCACTCACTCCAGAAATCACAAAAAAATTAGTCGAATCCATCCCAAGAAGATTAAATCACGTTTTAAAAGTAAAAAGGAAATCCAACAAAATATTAAAACATTTTAAGAAGTAAAATTTTTGGATAAATATTTGATGGAAAAGTAAGTGTCCCATCACTTAAGTGAGCCATTTTTTGCTCCGTTCTAAACAATTGTATTTTTATTAAATTACTATTTTAATATTTTGAGAAAACTTATGTTATGTAATAATTGTTATTAAATTTCAGTATGAAACACCCACAAAAAATGCTTACATGTTTTTTTAATTTATTTTACTATAGTTTCCTTTCGTAAAGCACAAGTGTCCCATCACTTTTGTGAGACACTGTATATGTTTAGTTACTTGTAATACTTTTAAAAATCATCCAAAAATTGTCTGTTACCGTTAGTCTGGTACAAATTACATCGTTGATCCGAACGTTTTAAATTAATTAAATGAATGTTATCACCTGCTGCATATAGATGGCGCTCATAGTCAGATTTTAGAACATGACTGGTCTAGGCATAAATTAATTAAAACTTTCTACTTTGTATTATTCACAAGTGAATTACGAAAATGTTATGCTTAGGAACACTGCCAAAAAAATTATTTATTGAATAAAATACAACTTATTGCATAAACGAAAAAAAACATTCATTCGAATATTCACGATTTGGCAACGTAGATAGATATACACAGTTTTAGATAAATTTATTATATTTATTAAATACTGTAAATGTATTTAATAAATTTTTTTTATTAATTTAAGATTTTTTTTATTTTCAAAGTAAGGTATTCACATAATTAAAGATAAATATTGCAATAAAACAATATTATCCGAGATTACATAGACTGATACTACTTCGGATAATGAAAAATCCATGCATTCATGCTATTTGCGATTAAATATTTCGCTTCTTAATTATTTCACATATTTATATGACATAATATACAGTTTTTAAACATTTTCTCGTAACCTAATGCCTGAATTTAATGCCTTAAGAAAACAAAGGGAAAAGAAAACTTTCTTATTTAAGAAAACAAAGGAAAGAAAACTTACAAATATTTATTTTTGCAGTGAAGTAATTAAAGCTCATTTTGTAATGTTTACTTTATTTTTGCTAATAGTTATTTTAATTTGTTGGCCTTTTCTGTCTTCTCTTATTCCCCTCGCGTTTCCTCGACAGGATATAAATTTGCTAGGATGAAGAAAAATAGAAATTAACTATTTATTTATTTAAAGTGATAAACGGATTTAAACTGATAAATTAAAATTATTGTATTTAAACTGACATATTATGATGAAATGATAAATTATTGTATTTAAACTGATAAAGCGAAAAGTTTAGTCAGAGCGTGGTTTCGCTACTGTGAGCGCATGTTTTTATTTCTGCCAGCTGTTAACCCTTAAATATCGG